CCATTAAATACAGCGCTAGAGTTTTGTGCTTAATATGTTGCTTTGAGAATGTAAGGGGAAATGAAGATGGTTCACTTGGGGGAAAATTAAGCTATTGAAAGATAAAAGTTGAAAACTATCAGTTGTTGTGATTTTTTTCAGTTAATTTATTATTATTGCATTTATTTGTTGTCCTTGATCAGATGTGTGATCCATTCTGCACTAAAGCCCATTCAACTTTAAAACATTACAGCTCCAGGAACCCACTCCCGACCTTCATAAACGTTATGTAATTAACTCCAAAACAGCTGGTTTTGGGCGGGTTGTTACAATATTTCTAATATTAGGGGTGCAACGAAACAGAAAATTCATGATTCGGTTCGGTTCAATACTTTAGTCTCACGGTTCGATATTTTTTCCGATACAAAAAAAGAGACATTTCCATGCCCCTTTTAACTTGTAATTTATTTAAATTAATTATGAACATTTGTTTAACCTCAAAAGTAAAGTTTTTAAATTAAATGTTGCTGAAACAGCAAGTTTCTCAGTGGATCTGCGCTCAAAAATGCAGCCTAGGTGGAGTAGTCGAACACAGATCCACTGATCCTTCAACACAAAGCATCATCAGAAGACAAGTTGATAAAGTAAATTTTAAAAATCTGTATTGCTCGATACAAGTGTGTATTGAACCTAAAACACTGTTCGATACGGTTCGATATGGGTACATGTATTGTTGCACCCCTATCGTGTATCTAGCTTCTAGCTTTAAATAAACCTCAGTTGAACTGACCTGTCTTTAGGGATGGGGTTGACTTTACAAGCCTCCAGCAGGAAGCGGACCACCTCAGCATGTCCTGAAGCACAAACAGAACATGAACATAATAAAAAACGAACAAAGGCATACTCCTCCTCTTCAGAGCTTCACCTTCAGCAGCAGCAACGTGCAGCGCCGTCCTCGAGTCATAGTCCCTCTGCTCCATGTCCATGGAGGACAGCGCAAACCTTTAGATAGACATCAAGACATGAGGACACTAAACAACACTAAATAGTTTTGAACAAACAGATTGAGAATCTGCTGAACCTCCTCAGGGCTGAAACGTCTCCAGTGTATGCAGCAAAAAGTAGGTTGATCACAGATTTTACCTGAAACATAAGAAGAAGAGTTCAACACCAATGAAGGAAGAAGACATTAAACACTTTATTCCAGTCTCACAATAGCAATGAAGAAATTTATTGGGGTGTGTTTATATACTGATCTTAATTACAATACACATGGTATAGTATTATTATTATTAGGGAAACTAATATCTGTTAAATGTGATTATGTTGCTTAAAATGATGATTTTATGTAGATACATGCCTGAACACTGATTTAACACATAACTGAACCGTTAATCTTCATTAGGTTAGAATATAATTTGTCTGGGGACATGATTTCAGCTGGATTTAGGGACTCTCCTCCTGGTGACGTAATAAAATAGGGCGGAGTCCTGTCCCGGGTGCCATGTTAAATGGTACTGACGTCCTGAAAACAGGGCTGAACGCAGACTGAATAAACCGTCTTCAGCCAGAGCGCTTTTCGTGTGGTTGATTGTATGCAACTCTTTGACATTTAATTTCCATGCATTGGTAAATTCTCAGTGAGTGTCAAGCACATAAACTGGTAAACGAACATGCTTAACAATATTTTCTTTCAACACAATTAACCCAATTTTATTGTCTTCACATTCGATTAACAAAACCATTTCAGGTCCTTCCTTTTCAACCTTTAAAATGATAAAATATAAGAAATCTATTGAACACATGAAGCATATAAAATCTAAGTAAAGTCCTGTATTCTGTGCAGACTTACCCTTTGGTCTCCCCCCTCCCTGCGAGGATCCAGTTTCTTTGCAAAGTGTCTCAAATTGTCGTAGTTGTGAAAGTTAAAGAGAGAAACAAGATCCTGGAGGATAAAATGTTCACTCATTTCATTAGTTTCAGGTTGTTTGATCTAAAACAGAATTTTTACTCAAGCTTTCTGAACATTTAGAGAAAATTTATTTTTTTCAGCTGAGGATTACCGTGCAGAACTGGATTCCTCTCACACTGTTTCCCAGTTTGTCCAGAGGAGGAGACCAGCACATGATGCCCATCACATTGGGAACAACCAGCAGAATCCCTCCGGCAACTCCAGATTTAGCTGGCAGACCCACCTGTAACAAATGGAGGAGGGGCTTAATAAACAGGTTAGTTTTATGTGTAATGCTGAGGTCTCCTCTTTCCCAGCCAAGCGAGGTACTGACGTGGAATGCAAACTGTCCAGAGAAGTCATACATGCCGCAGGAGTGCATCAGACTCAGGGTGTTCCGCACTGCCTCAGGGCTAAGCACACGCTCTCCTGTGATTGGACAGAAGCCACCGTTGGCCAGGGTCGCTGCCATGACGCTGGCACTCTCACAGGTCACCTCAATGGAGCAGAGCTGATGGAGAGGAACAGAGTCATGTTTCTACAGAAACACCTCAGAAGTTCAAACTTTAACAAATTTTTAGTAACACAGACAAACACATGTTCCTCCTAAAAAAAAATAAAACAACCACAAAATAAGCAGGATCCCCTGAAAAAACTGACCTGGAAGTAAAAGTCCAGAATGGAGGTCATGTCTGTTCCCTCAGGAAAACACTGAGAAGGCAAAAACATAATCAGAAACCAGACAAACCAGCTGCAGCCCTTTAAATTAAAAAATATATATACTGTATATAATAATTGAATCAGAACTTAACAAAAAGCCTCCGATTATAGGTAAATTAAACTTTTTTATGCAAAAAGAAAAAACTTAAAAAAAAAAAACTTACCAAAAAATACGACAGTAAATATTTGTGGTCTAGTATGTTATTTGTGGTCAATTGACAAAAAAGTAACCCAAAATGTTCTAAAAGGAAATCTTTGTCCTCACCTTTTTCTCCTTCAGATAGTAGCCGATGGCAAAGTTCCTGTCTCCAGATTCTCGTTCTGACTGAAAACTGGGAAATCAACACAAAACTGGTTCGTTTAAGCAAACATTTTAAATTTGAATTGAGTAAGTGAGTTTAAATCAGTTTATTAAAACCTCATTATTAAAATCTTTATTTAAACCTGAATCAGTAAAATTAAGCCAAAATTTATTGGATTTAAACCTGAATTAGTGAGGTTACAGCTGAGTTAATGCTCCTATCAGGCTACATGGAATTTAACAGATGAGCTATTTTTACACTAATGCTGCATTCACACCGAACGCGATTTCATCTTCAAAATCRCAGCCAACGCTGAAGTTGGTCGCTTGTGCACTTTGAGGTCAGACACAGGTCAGCTCCTGAAGCACTGCATGGCAAGAGCCTCCCCGCCCCTCCCTCCTCTGTCGGGCTCTGTTTAATGTCGGACGAGGAAGTGGCTTTGCTTTATTTACAGAGAGCAAGAGCATGTCACATTCATCAGATAATTAATGCATAATTAATTCACCAGATAATTCAGAGACATTCTGAGTTTCATCACACAGCAGCTGCGGGAGAGGCTCACAGCTCGCTTTCAGGACTATTTTTGTCCCTAGTCCAGTCTGATGAGCTGCTGCCATGCATTGGTGCGGATACCTCCTGTCAGGACACCGACTGCAGGCACTCAATTTCAGCTAAAGAGCTCCTTTCCATCTGTTTCAGGTTAGTGGACATCATTCCCGACGCTGATTGAAGCGCGTCCACCATAGACTTTGCATGTAAACCTGAGGCTCCTGATGCTGAAATCGCGTTTGGTGTGAACGCACCATAAAAAAAAAGAAATAAACCCTAACTTAGAAACACTACAGAAAATATTTGTGTTGTAGTATTTTATTGTGGTCAACTGACAATATACACTCACCGGCCACTTTATTAGGTACACCTGTCCAACTGCTCGTTAACACTTAATTTCTAATCAGCCAATCACATGGCGGCAAC